TCGTCCGTGTGCATAGTAAATTTTTGAAATATTCTCACCAACCCCTGATAATCTCAAGGTGCATCATTTGAAAATTACGAGCATTTTCTTTGCTTTTATTCTCCATAGACGGCACATTGTCTTTGAGGCTACATTTTGACAATAGATTGCAATGACAACATGAGAAAGTTAAAATAATTAGCAAAATGTCACACTCTATCATTTTCTATCTAGTTTGAGAGTAATTTCAAGCCCCAATATTGCTTCCACAGAGGAAGCAAACACGCTGTTCTCGGCAGTGGGAGAGTGTATTTACAAATAACCTTCCTAATGGTGCAGAGCAATCATCCCCTTGATTAGTTTGCGAGACATTAAGATCTAAATGCACCTCTGATATGCCTATTTAACCCAACATCCTACTGAATCCCGTTGAAATTCACTGACCAAGTTCATTCAAGGGGCCATTTAAATATGAGCTCAGACACAAGCTGCTATGTCAAATATCTTAGTTTCGTCATATCGTTGAAATTAAAAAATAAGAATAAGAACAAGAAGGCAATGGAGTAGATGAACAATTGAATCTTTATGCGATGTTCTTTGAATATTTCGTAATTTCACAGCAAAAACGACTGTCTGTATTCCACACAGCTTTCGTAGACATTTTTCAGATACTAAAAAACGTCTGAGTAAAATGAAAATTTGTCTGAATTTCAACAGGTGCCTAAACATTTGCCCTTTGTGGGGTTCATACCAGCTGCGTCCCCATCGCGAACCCTGGGTAATGCTAAGTGCTGGTCAAACTTGATACTTTAAAAATAAGTGCTTCACTACACGTTGAATTTATATGAACACCTCATAATTTGAATTTTTTTTACAGGTTTTTTTTACAGGTGCCCAACATCTTAATTTATGTTTGAAATTCAGACAAATTTTCATTTTGTTCAAACGTTTTTTAGTGCTGAAAAATATCTACAAAAGGCGTGTGAAATTCAGACATTTGTTTTGCTGTGTTATTTTTCATCACACTATCCGTCAAACCGCCGTAAAACCGCCGTTTACGGACATTGTGACGAAATAGTATATTGCGTCATTAGAACCCAGGTAGGAATTAAAAAATGGCCCAAGCTTGGTCTAAGGGCGACCCAACCTTGGCCAGTCACGGGCCAACACAGGCATCCAAGGCTGGTTGAGCACCGAAATGATAACGCTGGGCCATTCTTGGCCACCAAGACATCCAAAGCCGATATTTGCTCGTGAATGGGTCGCCAAGACTTAGCATGCCAATTCTAGGCCGACGCTTGGCTGGGATTCTGTTGATTATTTTTCTCACTCGAATTTCAGCCAATCAGAGCGCAGTATTTGAGGCTGTTAAACAGTTTTATTTCGGAAATTTCTAAAAAATTTCCGACGGAAATTCACTAGTAGCTTTTCAAATGTTTCTCATCTTTCAACGCATTTCACGTTTAATATTCTGTGTGACAGATAAACAAGAAAGTGGGTTGTAAATGTATGGCTGTGTAAATGTATCCGGATGCTGTTCACTGCACTCTGCTTGGCTGAAATCCGAGTGGAAAAATAATCCGTCAAATACCACTCGTGCTTCAAAATTAATGGGATATTTTCTTCAAGCTCCCTGCCTAGGAACGATTGTGTCAAATTTTGCAGGTTTAAAATTTTGTGTTAAATTTTTCTGCAAAATTTGACACAAACGTTCCTAGGCAACGAAGCTATCGGAAAATATCCGATAATTTTGAAGCACTAGTGGTATTACTACTATTTAAAAATGAGAAAAAATATAGTGTGACATCACAACCTAAGTCACGAAATTGACTTTTGTCACGAAGCGTCACAAACTGCGTAGCCCTCCCCCCTCAAGTGTGTGACATAATATTTGAATGCCACCGTTTGGAATTACAACCAAAATTTCGACACTGCAGTTTTGTCTGAACTACGAGGTCAACGCTTTTATTACATTTTTTATACTGTTTCAACTTCGGTTTTATTTGATAATAAATCCTGTAATAGCCCAAAGTTGGGTAGTTTCCATGTAATTGAATGGCCGGAATAAAACGATGATTCCATTACATAAAGCTTAACTCTGATAACTTTCAATATTGACAAGAGCAAAAACCCTTTCCCTTCAAAGTAAACAAACAAGAGGACTTGAAAAACGAGCCATATTGAAAGCTGCTGATAGAAGCTTCGGGCTACATGAACCTCCATAAATATTAATTCCGATTCAAAAGTCGTTTTAATCATTTTCGAATATCCTGCGAGAGTTTACCTCATTCCCTCCTTTTTTCTGGCTGTCTATTTTTCCCAATACTTCACCGATATCAGATACTTTGCGTTACCATCGAAGGTATGAGATTGGAAAAGAACGGGAAAAACTGCGAGAGATGTGAACTGGTGAAAGAGGGTAGGCACTATATTACGGATACTCATGGAGGGGAGATGGAGTGAGAGAGAACCGCGATTTCACTGGGTGACCGTAATGCTTTTACTCTGCGTGTACAGGCGATAAAAGCATTATGGAAATAAACTTTCAATTTGGGGGTAACACGTTGTGTGGGTATAATCGACGCAGGTATTTCCGCCCACTAAAATTACGAGAGGGGAAAAAAGGTAAAAACTATAATAAACAAGAAAAAAAAAAGGAAATATCAATTTTTGGGTATTCAGTTTTATATCCGTATACAATAACACAAAAAGGATGAACTGCCATATCGAGCTGTATAATATTGCAGGAAAAACATAACCCGGATTTCTGTAAGCTTCTTTTTTGTCATACCCAAAACGTGATGAAACGTGAAATTGATTCTGCACAATTGGGCCAATATTTTTGATGCAAAATACGAGGTGAAATAATCGAACGGTGTGGGAGAATTAGAGACGAATTAGGTCACTAGTGACAAGTCGAGGGTTTTAGATGAACGGGTGTAGAACATCACTGAGGATATGAGCAGTCGAACTTCCCCCGAAAGGTGACGACGTAAACTGAGTTGAGTTAGGTTTCCCGTGGTGTACCACGTTTTAGAGTGGTTGGAATGGTCTCGTACGACTTCGAAGCACATAACTATCTTGTATGTGCATTGAGTCTGTGAATATCCTATTATCGACTAGCACTTTACAGCTGAATATCTCCGACACTCTCCGCTCGACGACCATCGCCTGAAACTGAGCTGATAACTCGAATAAAACGGTGGGAGTTTAGCAGCCGAAGCTAGTTGCTAAATCATTGGAGTGGTATTTCCAAATTCAACGCGATTTTCAGCATTTTAGCCGCAGTTGAATGAACTCGGCTGGGGGTAATTAGACCACATAGCTACGCACTGCACTCGGTGGATTATATCAATCATTTTTTCGAGATTCGTGATCATTTTCAACACAGACTAATTTACAATTTTCATTTTATCTCCATTTTCAGACATGTATTATGAGAGTAAATGAGATTTAATGTGGAGTATCAAGAGAATCACATAACGTATTCTTCGATGAAATAGTAATACTCGTGGCTGAATAATATTCATCGAGAAAATGCAGGCAAAATAATACAACAATAGCCACTAAATGAAACTGTTTCAATATTTTGAATATTTTATGATAATGTAGGTCACGTAAAACTCCAGTTTGCCATAAAGTCATCAAATAATTATCTATGTGTTTGCTGCACCTTTGAATTGATGCATTTTTGTATAGGAACGAGAGGGAGAAACCTCGCAGATTTTATTGCAAAATTCATCCTGATGATGAGCAGAAAAACTTGAGAAAAATTTTCTATAATTTATTATCACAGGGGGTAACTATCTGAATTCCGATTGATAAAAATACTGTATTCGACATTTTTGCGGGTTACAGCCATATTTATATTGGAACTTCATTTATTTTTATTGAAAAATTGCATTCAAGGTTGCCATGAAACTAAATGAAAATAACCAAAAATTATCTTAAGTAATAGGCTAGCTGCCTACCACCGATTGCACCCCTTGAGGTGGAAAATGACAAATTGTAGGCACAAAAAACAAATGATTGAAACTTTTTTTTCATCATGCTGTGACGAAAAGTGAACTTTTCGGCACGCTCTGCGTGCCTAAAAGTCCAATTTCCGCCACATTGTGATGAAAAATATTGTTCGTAATACGAAATATACTATTTCTCAATTTTAACCTGCGACTGAATACCATAATCGTGCTTGAATTGAATTGATTCATACAGCAAAATTCATGCCCTGAATTTTTCTCAATTTCTCATTTTTTAAATTTTTTCATTCGCAAATTCATCATTTATGGTCCATAAATAATCGATAAATAATGAATTTTTAAATAAAAAAATTAAAAAATTAAAAATTGGGAAAAAATTTTAAGAACGAAATTTGAAAAAAAAATTTTATGAATAGAACGAATCCGAGTCCCAGTCAATTTTTTAAATATGTTCCGTAAAAATAGTCACGTTGAGTAAAAAAATTAAAAAATGCGTGGACACCACGCACGATGTAAGCTAATTGGCACTATGCTCAATTGAAAAAACGCAAAATTACCGTCGGAAATACTTATTGAAAACCCTAAAAAAAATTGACTAGCGCTGAAACGTAAAAATTTGTCAAAAACTCACAAAACTCAAAAATTAACGTTGTGGGCGTAATAAAATTTGAAAACAAAATTTTTAGGCCCGTTGAATGATAAGAAAGCCATTTAAATTTTTGAAGGTACAAAACCATACCAATACTTGGCGAAAACACCCATTTATGATCGTAAATTGGCTGGATGAAGTTGTTCAATAATGACAAAGAAATTTTCCTCTATGAGACGATCAAATTATCGTAATAATCTTAATCATGTTATTAAACAGTGAAACGAATATTTACTAATTAGACATAACTCCCCCGAGTGATGTCCACAAGCCGATCAAATACATTTAACTATCGCACATTTGACCAGATGAAAGGCTCGTTAATGTCATTAGCTTCACAAAAGACAAATATCATGTTGTGTACAATGAATTTTTCAAGTGCAAATACTCACGTGTTTAGTGGCCGTATAACCAGTGAATTGCTGTAGCTTACTGCTGACCGTTCTCACACCACCAACACTGGGAGGTTTAACTGGATCCTCGGTATTATGCCAAAATCCAATGACACCAGTTATTATTAGAGCAACGAATGTGGTGATTGCAATGAGCAGTGACAGTGTGACGATTTTACTGCGTGGTGATATTACCATTGCCATTTTTGTCCGTGAATGGAATTTTTTTAAAATAATTTTTAGAATGAAACCGCCGAGGTATTATTATAATTTAATTCCATCAACGTAGAGAGGTATTCTTGTCATTTCTTGATATCCTCTCGCCCATTCTCAATGGTTCTTTTACCAATTTGTACTGTAAATTGCCGTTGAAAATGAATTCTTCCCTTTGTGTAAGTCTAGTCATTTGTCTACTTCGCCTCCTTTGTCGTTGTCAGATTGAAATACATCCGTGAAATCAGATCGTATCAATGAGTGTTGGTCTTCATTACTTCATGTACTCGTTCTTTGTGTTTTATTCGTGAATTTCAGGATATCATCTTTGTTTAATATATTTCGAGCTAGTATATGGCTCATCTGTGGAGTTCATTTTAATTAATTAAAGCGGGGCTCATTCCTCGCCCGAGGGATAAAACCAAACGACTGGTCGTACGTATTCTATTCGTTTAATGAAAACATCTCAAAGGCGGTGATAAACACATAAACAAAGATCGTACAAACAATAAACGAATAAGGAAGGAGGTGAAGGTTTGCAGGTGGAAGAATGCAATGGGGTATGGGTAGTGGAGCATCTCAATACAAATGCTGGTTTGTACCTTGAATTATTATTCTCGTAATTCAACCATGGTTATGCTAGCAATTTAGTCGCCCCAATGTTCCATGCCCGGGATGCAACGCCGATAAAGCAAACGATTAAATTTAAGTCCTCCTCTGTCTCATTCAAAATGCTCGTAAAATTTTCTCCGAGTTTTTTTTTACTGCCAATAAGAACAATCGAAAAAAGTTTCGTATACAATCGTCAAAATTAATCACTTCTCATGCCATAACTTTTCTTTTTCACAATCAACGTTTACTCGATTTCGCGAAATAGTCGAGGAAGACGAAAAAGTGGCTAATTGAAGGGAAAAACGGAAAATAATTAATTCTATTGTTTATTCGCGCACTTCTCTTGCACCCTCAGGTTTCTGAACCTCGAGTATTATATTCTACTGTCTCAGCGGGTCGCACTTCCGCTCCACAGTTGAGCATCAAGTTTGCAAACTGTCTTTAAATACCGTGAGATAAAATACTCCATAACCCCAGGATCATCCAAATCCCTTTCCTTTGTCTTTTATAATACTGGATCGGGCGAGCGCGCTGATCTTTCACCTCATATACTTGTGAGGAGTTTTCCTTTCTTCATTCAAATTATAGAAAATTCATTATTACTCAATGTTAGAACGAAATAGTGAAATGCATTACTTTTTATACGGGCGGGAATACATTAGAAAAATCAATGATATAGAGAAATAAAAAAACAGAGAATTGTAAAACGAATGATAAGAGAAAAATCATTCAATAATTTTGAATCTTTAATCAGCATTTTCCCTTTTCAAAGTAGCCCGATAAATATCAGTAATTATTGAAAAATAAGGGATGTGTTGTAAACTTATTTTCTAGGAAAGCGAATAATTCTCTCGAATTTGGCAACTGCGAAAAATTTCTAGAAAACTGAAGAATGTTGTAGATCTTTTTGATGAAAAAAAATAGTACATTACGCAACTAGTGCGGAAAGCAGGCGGTTACTCACGAGGGCGGCGCAGCCGCCCGAGTGATACCGCCTGCTGTCCGCACGTGTTGCGTATACTACCGAATATGATAAGTGCGTGAAGTCTGGGGGTGGAGGGGGGGGAAGAGAGTGGGGGGTGTGGGGGGCGAAGCCCCCCACGAGAAAAGGGGGTCCAGGGGGCGAAGCCCCCGGTGGGGGGGGGGG